CAATATATATGTACGTTGTATGAGCGCTTTGAATTTATGCATCGAAAATATCAGTTATATTGCAGCGCGATCTTATTATAAATAGTTATACTACTACTTAGACCATTCTACACTACCAAAAATATGTATTAAAGACCGTCAGTCGTTACTTTTTTACATCGCATATCTTGAGAAGAAACAATTATCGTCTGCGAACTAATTCTATTTGATATTTGATTGCATAACGAACACGGGATTGAGTTTTAATTAAAATCGATTGTGTAGTTTTTAACACTCTTTTAGCTTGAGTATACATATGTGTGTATGTATTATGGAGTGGAACATTTTAATTTAGTTTACACCCACTATCGCTTGCCTGTATGATTTGATAATTTGCACACGTATTCAGAGTCAATGACTACATTAATTTCATGACTAGGGCTGTAAGAAAACTATTGTTACTAGATCCTATTCAAAAAACTAAGTCATAGCTCATGATCAATTTGTAATCTGTAACTAAATGAATAGCTGATAGTGAGACCAGGCTAAATATCACCTAAACCAAATTTGATAGGTAAAAAATTCAAAATGAGCCGATCGCTTATTTAAACTGTTACTTTAAAATCGGAATGGTTCTTTTTATAGAATAAGTGTGGCAAACGATCACACAGTTCATTTGATGGTATGTGGATGCTGTGGCTTATAGAAATCTACATTTATTCTTGATTATGAATCAAAATGCAGATACGTTGTCACTCCTGAGAACCAAGGTGCTTTGTTATCAATTTCAAGAGCATTAAAACAATTTCATAATCTTTTTCTTTAAAAGTAACGTTAGACGACACTTACAAGGCATTAACATGGAATAGAATAGAAATTATTATATTCATAAATTGCTGAACTATTAGACCTATACACTTGTAATTTTGCATGTCTAATTAGGACCCCTTAAATACTTAGAACTGAAATTTTATTTTATTAATAATGTCATTAAGTGCCCTTGTTATGACCCACTGAATCATTTATTAAAAATCTAGCGCACTTCTAGGTGATTTTGAAATTTGAAATTTGGCATCAAGGCTTAAAAAAATCAATTGCAAAAATCTGAAAATTAGAAATTATCGATATTTGGTGTTAACAAGATATTGACCTGAACCACTTACATCATATCTGCTTCCCATATGTCCCACCAGGTACTCATTCTCTCTATTAGGCAGGCCGCCTTACATTCGCTTACCTGTACGAGGCTGCCTCGAGAATCTCTATATAATATATAAGAACCAATTGGTGTCCGTTAGTCTCTGGCTCGATCGATTTTAATGAATTCTATTGTGTGTTTTTGACCCACTCAAATACATACAAAAGAATTCTTATTCGAGAATTTTTTTTGAATATCCTGGACGGTTTAAAATTCCTATTGGATCCTGTAGGTGGCGCTTGCCGCTTGCTGAGATCCAGAAATCACTCGTGCTATGCAGAGGCGGATCGCTAGTCTTCCAAAAACAAGGATTTATCTCCATATTCTAAAGGATTTTCTCTTTTTTCCCCGGAGTGGCCCCACCATCGCAAAGCTTGATAGGACATTCTGAGAGGCAAAAAACCAGATTTGTCTCCAGACACAAATAGTCAGACAATTGTGATATGATTCAATCTTTGCATTCCTTAATTCCTCCAATCAGGAACGCCCACCGTATCCTGGTTTTGCTTTACACGGAGGTCCTGGAATAAACTAAACACATAGTGATGGTAGCATAGCGGTAGAGTTTACTGAGTTAATAAATATAATAATACTTATTTATAATTAAGGTTTCTTAGTAAATTTTTACTGTCTTCCCCTTCTTCATCATCATCATCAGCCCACTACATCCCACTGCTGGATATATACTTTTCTCGTTAAAAAATAGTAAAGAAAGCTTATCCGATATCGATCCCCGTTTCCTGTAAAAAGGGTCTCCGGTTCTTTACATTCACCATACGAAACACAGTGGCATTGAGCTGCTATTTTACGTTGGTATTCCGTGAAAGCGTGGTCCTGCACCGATCGAGCCGACCCCCTCGTATTACTAGCTGCAGCATGGCTCTAACACGTATTTATTTCATATCATAAGATATTATCCTATTATATGACATTAATCAATAAGCAGTGTATCGCTCAAAGAAATTTTACTATTATCGTGGGGTTATTTAGGTTTATCACAGTATTTCGTTTCTGTTTTTAAACAAATTTCCAAAATTTTTGGATAAAATACAGCCTAAATCATTCCTGGCATTGCTCCTTATCTGGTCGTGAAGTTTTATCATGTTCGCATTGCTGATCCCATTGGATCAGCATTGCGAACATTAGCCCGGACATACCTACAGACAAAAATGTTACAAATGGTTGTTAATTACCTGTGCCGTGCAAGTAACCCCTCAGCTCGATATAAGGCAGTTATTTTGATATTACATACAAACACTTTAATTTTATTTATCGGTGAAGATTAGACGACTTATACTTGGACTACATCAAATTATAATATATATATATAATTTGATATATGTAAAACAATTGGCGTTAGTTATTGAAAGGCGCAGTTAGAAGTACAAGATTTTATCAGAAATATCCTCTGTTTTACATCTACAGCGGTCTATACGTTATCGTTACGTCACATTCATATGTATGGCATTAAATCTTGATCTAAGCACAATACAACACAATTATTAGTTCCGGCCAAGTTACGTGGTCATAATGTGATATACGTCTCGAACTAACTCGGACAATGTACGTCAGTATTTTATATTATTATCTTATTAGAAAATTATTTATAGATCTCGTGGGTTTAGATAGAGTGGCTCCCGTGTCCGATGCGCATTCCTGGGTTTGTCACAGATGGGGCTATGTTTTTTTCTTTTTATGATAGAGCTGCAGCTAAGGTTAAAGCACGAATGAGTCGGCTCGTCCGGGGTATACCACGCTCGCACAGAAAACTGGCGTAAAATTGCAGCTTTATGCTGCTGTGTTTCGTATGGTAGTGTAGAGAACCGTAGACCCTTTCTACTTATAACGACGCATTCTATCTTAGTCCTCATGGATGTGACAACGCATCAGCAATTTGATTCTTAATCGAGGATGAATGTAGATGTTAATGCGCCACAGAATCCATTTACCATTAGGTGGACTGCTTGCTCATTTGTCACCCTTATTCTATAAGAAACAGCAGTAAAAGTAATGCTGCTTGCAGACAGAAATGGATTAAAGGATGTCATATCCACCCGGGCGGATCCGTGGATAGAAAAGTAGTCCGAGTTAGTAAAAAAAATACGTAAGTAAGCTGGTCTTACTATCCTATTACGAAAACCAGTTTGATTTTTCGATACGGTTCCGGTTCTTAACAACTCATTCTGAGCTTAGAAGAATTCAAATAAATTGAAATTAGCCGGTATGTCGAAAACAAGTAAGCTATGGTAGCTTAGAGAATAAACATTCGCCTTAAATTTAAGGCGAAAGTTTACTCTTTATTGATTAAGCACGAAAAAACGAGTTCGATCCCCGTCGATACTGAAATAGTTATTAAGTTATTTCAAGTTATGAGTTGCCATTTTAATTATTTAATACGTCATTTAAGCATTAGTAAATACGTTATATCAGTAAAGGAAGGTCGTACGGGCAATTTATAACTTAAATTGTTAAAAGTTTCATAGAGATAAATTTAAGTAAATAAATATAACTTTAGCATCGCAATATATAATTAAACTTTATGTATGTAGTATGTAGAAGGTCCGTAAAATATGAATAGCTTTGAAAAAAAAACAAATATGTATACTTTAAATACTAGGAACAACCACAAGCTTGTAATGCCAGTTACTAAACTATTAGTAACACAGAATTACCACAGAATTAATAATTTATTTATAGGGCAATGTATACCCTTTTACAACAACATTTTAGAAAATATTCAAATTTGGCATACAACAAGTTTAAAATATTGTTTTAGACTAACATGGGACCATACATTATACAGATACATGTTTAAATTACTCATTATAAATTGCTCATACAGTGTTATGATTAAAATGAGTGTGCCTGTAGTCGTAATTGTAGTTTCCATCCAGTTTTCTGTAACGGCTGACATCTATTCGTCCGACAGCTGGTCAGCCTCTGCCAAGGTCTTTGATTGCGTGTGCGTATATTGATGAGATTAAGATGGATTTTTTAATAGAATTAGGGTGACAAATGAGCACACAGTCCACCTGATGGTGAGTGGGCATTTAACCTCGATTAAGGACCAAAATGCAGATGCGTTGTCGCCCCTGAGGACTAAGATGGAATGTCTCGATTCCAGTAAAACGGCTCTTCGATTCTCTACACGAAACACAGAAGCATTAAACTGCAATTTTACACTGGTGTTTTGTGAGAGCGTGGTCCTTTTTCGTGCTACAAATATATAGCTGCAGCGTAGCTCTACCACGTGTAAAAGTATTTGGCTCAACTTATTTTTGTTAATGAACTATAAAAATATCAAATAATTTAATTTATTTACCACTGATTCCTTATGTTTACGTGAACACTACACATTTAGGTAAATGAAACTGCTTTTTACGGATTTTATCGCGTATATTAAATTACTTTATATTCCCGATGTTTTCAGTACTTTACAGCACCAATAGTCACGAGGGGACTGAAATGTTCGAGCGGACCGGATCGGACCAAAAGTTAATAATGAGTGATGAAATCTGAATGTAGTCAACTATGACATCGGGATATCGAACATCTCAGACCTTGGGTGCTGTATAGTGCGCGAAACGTGTGAAATCTATCTATCTTCTTGAACACTTGAACCTATTTGGATGGGATTTTCAATGGCAGATAGCTGATGTTATAAGGAGTAACTTAGGCTACATTTATTTTAGAAATACGCCCAAAAAAAGGGGGCGAAGTCGCGGGGAACAGCTCGTATATATTTTTATAAATTATAGATATTATAGTTACTTATACGCGAAATATTATTTATATTTTATTAAAATTATTTTCCACTTTGCAGCCTGAAGCTGAGGCTGAGTCAGAGCCTCATGGAGGCCAGGAAATCCACGCGCTACGCTGCGGCTGGGGCATGTTTCGACCAGCATGGCTTCAGCGCTTTCGGACTGCGAAATGGGCACTATTCTGGCTGTGCTGGGCTGGCGCTATACAGGGTAAGTTTTTAATGCGAAGAAATCAAAACACACTCAGACTTGACATTAAATAAGTTGTGTCTGCGAAGAATATGTCAAAAAAGTTACGTATTTTTATAGAATAAGCGTGAAAAAGCACACAATCCAACTGATAGTAAGCGGATGCTGTGACCCATACATATCTGCATTTATACTTAATTACGAATCAAAATGCAGATGCGTTGTCATCCGTGAGGTCTAAGATGGAATGCCTCGTTTCCAGTAAAAAGGGTCTCCGGTTCTCTACATTTATCATAAGAAACACAACAGCATTAAGTTGCTATTTTATTCTGGTATTCTGTGAGAGAGCGTGGGCCTGCCCCAGTCGATCCGATTCATTCGTGCTACAACAATAATATAGCTGCAGCGTGGCTCTACAACGTAAAATATTTACATATGGCAATTCACAATGCCGTATTGGTCCATACAATAGTACCTTCATCTATGGTAGTTAAAGTTTGATGCAGCAGAAGAAGCGTGAGAGTAGCATAAATGCAGTTAAAATGCGGTCATTAAAGAGTATGTTAGGGCTGACTCTGAATGAATGTAGAAAGAATGGATGACGAAAGAGTGACAAAGCATATGTTGCAGACTTCACGGAAGTTTAACGACCAGATTAACGATATAATATATAGAATATTTTATACGTGGTAGAGCCAAGCTATATTATGGTGTAGCATGAATGGGTTGGCTCGACCGGGGCAGGATCACACTCTCACAGAATACCAGCGTGACATAGCAGCTTAATGCAGCTGTGTTTCGTATGGTGAGCGTAAAGAACCGGAGATCCGTTTTACTGGAAACGAGGCATTCCATTTTAGTCCTCAGGGGTGACAACGCATCTGCGTGCGTTTTGATTCTTAATCTAGGATAAATATAGATGTCTATGGGCCACAGCATCCGCTTACGATCAGGTGGACTGTGTGCTCGTTTGTCACCCTTATTCTATAAAAAAATTAAGTGACCCTTAACTGACGAGCATATATACATAGGTTTACGGATGAGGAGGAGTGAGTGTTTTATATATATATATATATATATATATTATATATATATGAAAAATATATATATATATATATATATATATGTGTGTGTGTGTGTGTGTGTGTGTAAAAGGTGTGCCCGTTGTGCTCAAGACTGTAGGTAACATAACTTCTGAGCTTTAAAGTCAACTTTTTTCTTTCCTATTTACTATTATGTCCTAAAGCACAAGAATTTTATAATCGGGGAATTAATTTAGTTTTTTTTCTTTTAATAGTTATTCAAGTCTCTCAAGTCGTAATTACCACTTCATTTTATTTACTTCCCATTCGAAAGCAGCCGTATATTTGAAAGTTCAGCTTAATACACGTGTTAGTCAGTGGATGCTGTGACCCTTAAATACCTATATCCTCGATGTTGTCAGCAAAAGAGGTAACAAAGCATCTGCAGTTCGATTCTTAATTGATGATGGATGTAGGTATCTGTGAGCCACAGCGTTCACTTACCATCAGATGGATTGTGTACACGTTTATTACCCCTATTCTATAAAAAAATATACAAACACTTTCGGTGCGGGATTTAAATCGCGGTCTAAAACACTGAAGCCATGCAACTGCGCTACACAGCCGTCGAATCTACAATTAGTCACAAAATGGAAAGTTGAAATTGATCTCAGACCGGATCGCACCCCATCCATTATTATCTGTTCATTTTAAAGCGTGAATCTCTAGCGTTATTAATTATCAACACTTAGTTCTCGAATCCGCCGATAAATAACAGTCGCATATTTCATGAAACTATATTTTCAAATTAATTGATGCAACGCATTTGTCCGTGAGATACCACTATTAATCAACCTTTTTAGTATATACACCCATAACGGTCTGTTCTTTTTTTCTGGTAATACACTTGTATATTTTTACTTTTGCCAATATCAAGTCATCCTTTCACAAACTTGCCTTTCACAAGTCCACTGGAACATAGGTCTCTCCAAGGAATGCCATTAAGGACGGTCCTGAGTTACCATCGACTTCCTGCATGTCTTATCAGGTCGGCACTCCTTGTGTACCGCCTTACACTTCATCTCGCATTACGAGGCTGCCACTCGGTAACCTTTCTTCCCTGTCGATTGTCGGTTCTTCGAGCTATATATTTACCAATTAAAAAAAATTGTAGTTGTTAAACTTGACATCATTTTCTTATCAAAATTTAACAAAATAAATAGACATAAAATTCAGTGAGTATCAAGTGTAATTAATAATTATTAATATAAAATATGTATTTTTAGTTTTTAAAAAGTACAACAATGATAATTCCTATTAAATATTAGTCTAGTATCTTGAAAGTTTTAAATAAGAATGTGTGTTAACTAATAAGTTTCGAATTTTAGACCTAGTCGACCTCCAAAATAAGTTTTCGTTTATGTCAACCCCTAGGCAACCGATTTCAATTCCAGGGGGATGGATTTCCAAAGTGGTCGATATCCGCCTTTGGAAATTCATTCTGTACGCATTACAAAAGAAGAAGCAAACCGTTTAGTTTTAATGCATGGAATATTGACAACAAAGCGATGAAGAACCGTCGACCGCCTGGTTGCCCGATGGTGGAAGGGAGAGGGAGGAATCAAAGCGTGCAATTCCTGCGCACGCTCACCGACATTCATCCTATAGAATACTGAGAGGCTAGTTACTCTGCACCTGTGTTCGAGGCTGACTAGATTGGTTTAATTAAATCAAGGTCACCAATGAGCCTCTTAGCATATCCTTCCATTGAGTCCAACGCTGTCAGGTGGCATTTTGCAGCACTAGCTCATATGTAACAGCCTTACTCCATGCACGACCGGACTTACGCTTTATATAAGGTAAGAAGCTGCCCCGGCGTGAAGTACCGCCGCACTCTTGCAAGGACACCTAGTTTCTTTGCGACTGCTTTGGCCCTGGACTCAATAAACCACCCATAGTTGAGGTTCGGAGAAAATTCAAACTCTGACACCTGAAGGCAGTCAGTGTATTCCAAGGATACATTACGGAAAGTATGATCCAGGGGAAGCTTAGCTCGGGCTCCTTTGAGCGGTAAAAAGACACGCTTGTGTTTTGGAGGCGTTGAATCTCACAAGATTGGCGTGGATCTTTCGGACTGGATTTGATCTCGACTGTTCCGAGCATTCGGCTGGTTCCTCTTTACAACCGTGTTATCGTCTGCATAACCATTGATATCAGGAATAAGCAGATGCAATAAACAGTTAGTAGATAGATAAAAGTATTAGATGGTAGTACCACATCGAACCTCCTTCTCTACCTAGCAGTCCGTCTGATTAGCTAAAAGAAAGAAAGAAAGAACGTTTATTGAGCACATAAATTAACACAAAGAGAACAAGAACAAACAAGACGGTAAAATCCTTTGATCTCAACAAAATATTGAAAAAAAAATTAATATGCACTAAAATGGTCTCCACTCAGCTTTAAGTCACGAATAGAAGATAAACACATTGACTTATATATTACTAGCGTATAAACATCAATTCGTAACGCTGATTTAATGGAGCCAGAAGTATGAGGTGAATGCCAAACGGCGGTAAAAAAATGTATAATTTGAAATACAAAGAAAATGATCAAACCTATAGTAATAAAATTCAAAGTTGTATTACGTATAGACCTACGTAACCGAGATAACAAAAAGTGGAACGTGTACATGCAGAAAAAATAAATAAATGATTGTGTATGTGTGCATGAGTGTGTGAGTACATGAATGAGTACATGTGTGCATGTGTGCTTGCGTCGAGAGTGTATGATACTGTAATATTTATTCTGTGACCATACCGCTACTGCCTTATTTCTGCCGCTAAATAATCTGAAGGGCGTAGGGAGCCAGTGTAATTACAGGCTGTGAAGAATTGACCGCATCCAGCGCAGAGCGGCTCGAATCGTCGACGACCGAGTGCTTTCCGATCGGCTTGATTCACTGGCGCTGCGAAGAGATATTGCATCTTTTTGCGTGTTTTATCGCATCTATCACGGAGAGTGCTCTGAGGAATTCTCCGGATTAATCTCAGCCGCCAAATTTCATGAACGCAGTACGCGTTTTAACCTCCCGATACCATCCACACCATTTGGATGCTTGGCGGTCCACCACTGTACGTTTTACTAGGAGTTTTCTTCCGTGTATGACGTCTCTGTGGAATAATTTACCACCGGCGATTTTTCCGGACCGATACGACCTGGGGACCTTCAAGAAAAGAGCTTACTCCTTTCTAAAGGGCCGGCAACGCACCTACAATTCCCCTGGTGTTGCGGATGTTCATGCGCAGCGGAAGTCACTTAACATCAGGTGAACCGTATGCTCGTTGGCCCCTTTTTACATAATACATACATAAACATACATAAACACTCACGCCTGTCACCCAGAGGGGTAGGCAGAGATTACGGACTTCCATTTGGCACGATCCTGACATACCTCTTTCGCCTCCTTTACATCCATATATCTACGCATACATGCTCGTCGGTTAAGGGTACTTCTAACGTGGCCCAATTTCAAAATATCGCCAATTTGGTCGACAAACTTTTTTCTAGGGCGTCCCTTCCCGACTCGGCCGTTCACATCTGCCATATAAATTTGCTTTGTCACTCTTTCATCATTCATTCTTTCTACGTGACCAAACCACCGAAGCATTCCTTTCTTAATCCTGGTCACAACATCATCTTGCATACCACATTTATCTCTTATCACGCAATTTCTCACCCTGTCATTCAGATTAAACCCTAGCATATTTCTTAAAGAACGCATTTCTACAGCATTTATTCTACTTTCGTGCTTCTTCTGCCACACCCAGTTTTCACTACCATACATTAACGTAGGGACTAACACAGCATTATGAATTACCATACGTGCCTGTTTTGACACATTCTGGTTCTTCATAATAGAGTGTAGTGCCCCATTCACTCTATTCCCTGCATTTACTCGTCGTTCTATATCCCTATCATATCTACCATCGCTGCTAAATA